CATAAATGACGTAAATCGTGTATTCGACTTGCATAAGACAGTCGAAACTTGGATGTAGGAACGAGGCATTAGACTACAGTTAGACAGCAATCAGGTCAGTGCCCAAACGACGGACAAACAAAAACTTATCGAACTGTACATCTGATCTACCAATTAGTGCATACCCTCGTACCAGTTGACGAATACTTGATTATGAATTTTAAACACCCAATAGGCCTTCTACAGTCTACCTACGCTAGAGCCTGGGTATAGGTCGAAAGGAAAATATGACAGGTCTTTAGCGAATCCCCGCAGCATCATTCACTTGCGTCCCTCTATTTTTATAAAGTCACATACAAATCAAATTAACTTCAGATGCAGATGTCTAGCACCATAAAAAAAACACCACCTGTGGAGGTGGGGTTCGAGTTGCACAAACCGTTGAAACACTCGCTGAGATTCAGGCCACTACACAAACAAGTAACCCAACTGGAAGCAGAAGGCACGGTCCAAATGTAGCATGGCTTGACCGCACGTAGGAACATAACACACCACGGGCTGCACCACAGCGCAAATACAATTGGAGTTCCGATGGAGGTGTTAAGGAAAGAAAAAATTACGGAAATGCTATATTATACATTGCTCATTTCTATTACAGAAGGCATAATCGGTTCTCCTGGTCTCGAAGCTCGTTGTACTGGGTAGGTGCAACCAAGTGACTACAACTCATGTCACCTGGTTGTGCTAATTACGTACTTGCATGACGGCAACGTCAGGCCAACACATAGCGTCCAGCCATATAACACGGTAACAGTTTAAGCTACCAGGGTTAATTGCTATGGTGACAAGTAATCATATGTTGGTTCTCTAGCAGATGCAATGTAAAGTTACCTAGTTAAACCAAAATTACGCAAAAATGATATGTACTGGCCGAATGGGGACTTGTATGGAAGTACACAAACATACAATTCTGACAACAAATAGTCTTAAGTGGCAGAGCATAGTGTGTACGGCATCGCTGTACTACCCAAAATTTACCCTCTATGTATAACGGCAATCGCTCATTAAATTAAACCAAGTGATGTCATCAGATTTCGCTTGCGTGTCAAATGTGGTGCTTGCAACAAGTTTCCTAAACATCAGATGTCGAGATTCTGAGCTGACTGGTATGAAATATGCGAGGAATAAAACCAACTTGGTTACAAAATCGATTTCCCAGCAATACATCAGACTGGAAAGCATCAGGCATGCAATTAAGCGATGCATCAGCTCAGAATGAATAATACACACACGAAGACACAATGCAAATTAGTCAGATTATTGATGTTTGCCAAACCCGAACTACCACTACCTTCGACTGAATCCGTCAAATGCATGGAATGCTGGATAAACTGGTTGACAGAAGATCACCTCTAAAAATGCTTACTAAGTAACACGAACCAGTGAGCAGATGACAATTTCTAGGTTATGGGACCATAGTGATTGTGATGAAAAAATAGAGGCCCTATCGGTGTGGCAAAAGAATAAAAATTGCGGCATAAGCCTATCACAGGCATCCACACACAAAAAGGTGGCAGCAACATAAAATTAAATGGAAAATCAAGACGAGGTTTTGCCGCTGCATACATGTATTTAACAAGGAAATAATTATTTAAATGATAAAAGACCACAACGGATGTTTGAGTGACTGGACCCAGTAAATGACAAAAATTTTGTGGATCATATTGCCCAGGATGAATCAGCAGTTCTCCCTCTAAGACTACCTTATTCTCAAAGTTCAGTCAGGAGAAGAATAGCAAGATCAGAATTGATTTGAGAACGTTAAAAACCGCATTTAACGTAGCATTTGAGTCCTTGATGGTCTAAAATTACTACCAAGTTTAAGGTTCTGAAATTACTTTTAGTCTTTTCAATTGTCTTTTAAATATCGACCATAACAAGGATGGCAATTTTAAAATGAAGGCTAAAAGCTACTTGCACCATACCTCACTACAAGTATGGGGTAAAAGCGAATAAAGTAACTAGGAGGAATCATTTTTTGACATTGTTTATTAATGATTCCGCTTTCCAGCACCATTATATAGGGCTGCAACACTACTACTGGGAGAATGTGCGTAAAATAAAAGCAGAACTGCAAATTGAAAGAGATGATTATTTGTATAAAGTGTGGATGGAATATGAGGAACAACGCCAGCCGCGAATCATAGACAAACCAAAATGCAGCGAGAACAAACCGATTCGGGCAAAAGGATCAAAAATTGGTAGCACAGATTAACCACTGCTGGTTAACTCTACAAGCAAACTAAAAGAGTGCAAGAGAAAGAGGCACAGGATCCGCAAACGAAAAACCTTGAACCCTGATAATTTCGATAAATTTGTTAGACAAAAGGCTCCAATCCAGTCACGACGCGGTGATGTGCAACAACCAAATTCACATACTCAGGAAGTTTCAACAAAATACATCAGTGCACAAGTACTTGTGACATCCCTGTTCGAGAGTAATATGCCAAAAGCTGACTTATTTGACACTTGCTTGATTTTCAGGAAGCCACAGCTTCGGTTTTTCCGATTATTGTGAATGGACAAGGGACAAGAAGAAATTAAGCTAGCAGACTCTGTGCTAATTGGTAATGATGCAAGTGAAACCAATCAGAAATCCCAAAAAACCTGACCTTAGTAAATGATCAGATATGTAATGGGTTAAGATCATCACTTTGTGGTTGCAATCAAAAGGCAAATGGAGGCCTGTCAAGGTGTGACCTGCACACGGGCTTTAAATTTCAAAGTACTGTCTCAAGCCCTAAATAGTATAATTCAATGTAACACAGACTTGCAATATGCTAGTATTATTAACTGTATAAGAAGACATTAATACATTTTGAGTAAACATGGATATTCAGAAAGGAGGCAGAACGAAATAAGGGTAAAATCAAGAGACATTTCACCAGTATTTTCTCAAATGTCACGTTCAACCGCAAAAGTAAGCGGCCGTAGCACAACCACTATCAATATTCTGGCAAGCCTTAAAAGTGAACTCGAAAACACCAAATTCTACACAAGTTCACTGTTGAAGCCATTCAGTGACTCCAAATTCTTACATAGTGGTCCGCAATTAGGTAAATTTCAACATGCTACATTCATAACATTATTTTAATTTTAGCTGAGCTCCAGACATAAGTTTATTGCTAGATCAAGGTAACCGAGCCATGTGACATGTATGAAGCCATGAATGTTTATTGGTAATGACACTTCTGTAAACATTGCTAAGAAAATATTCCAAAAGAAGGCAAAAGATCAAAGCTACGAAGAAATCAGCTTTGACAATTAGGACACAAAAATCGTTAGGAAGAAACATAAAAATCCCCAAAAGTCAACTGTTTACTTGATCGCATTATACGACGATTTCCAAATTCAAATATTGTCCAATAAGACTTTAGAATGACTATACACCAAATATAAAACTCACGGCGATTTCTCCACAGCATCTTCGACCACGATCCAATGAACGAAGTTGACGTGAAGCAACGTACTACAAAGTCGCACAAGATCTGCTTTCTGTGTTAATCTTTGATAAGTTGGCGTAATAAGGAAGACAGTAGTCTTTTTTGGATTTGGAGGATCATTGACTAATTCTAATATGGTTGTCCGAGATAAATTAGCTGGAACAAAGTCGAGTTTTGATTTTGGAATGTTAAAAAAACAACGCACGATAATAACGAATAATAAAGCAGCGACAAGGATGAACTCAATTTGACATTTCATATCTTAGCATGACCTTTGATGACAATTAACCGAAATATTGGTGCATTCAAACAGTCTGAATGCACAAAGTTAAACTTTATAATAAACGTTAATGTTTTATGTGCACTATCATTAATTCTTTTTCTATATTTTGATGAAAATGCTTAGTTTTAAATTTTCTGATTGCGGGGATTCTGCAAAGATTAGTTTGATTTTAATGAAAACCACCAATTATTTTTCTCCTTTACATAATCAACATAATCAAACTGAACAAATTCTTGCACTGTAGTGCACAGTTAAACACCACGTAAATAAGAATCATTGCTTGAAACATGAAATGAATTTATGCTTCATCAAGGAGATACTTTTAACAGACTATGGTCACGTTATGCCAAGATTACAAGACCTTTATGCATTTTAGCCATTAAATTACGTTTTCAACTTTTCACGAGGGCACACGTCGTCAGATGTCTTGCAGATAAATGCGAGCATGCTTTGGGGGTAACTCACGGGTGATCAATACAATGAAATCAAGTTAAAAAAACCATGCAAATTTTTTGCTTTTTTTAGAGATAAGTTATGCATATGTCAGCTGAAACCGTTTTGCCGAAAAAAATTGGTTGGTTATAAAATGACTTGGTAAATAGCATGGTTCTTTGCTTGCTCAAAAGTTTGATTTAGGAATGAAAGTGCGATTGTCTTGCTTCACCGTGTTAGGCCGCTGTACGAACAATCAATTATAAGCTTAATGGACATGCAGGAACTTTTCACCAGTTACCTTGAATTGCCGTAGTTTCACCATTTGTTTAAACCGTATTACGCCATCAAAATCTAAGCTTGTCTCTCATTATTCAGGCATTTTTTAAAAGAAATTATCAATTGTTAAGATTGAGATTAAAATAAAGCCGTTGGTTATCTTAGTTTTTAGCTTTGTGCGATGTATTTCGGAAATGAAAAGTTCCAGCTCCAGCCTTCCAAAATGCTTCTTATCCCCATTAACGATTTATTTACTACTATGTTTTTTTACTAGTTCGCGATCGAATATTTTCTATTTTCCTTTCCATTATAAGGCAAGCAATCATTTTTAAGGTGGAACATCACAGCGGTCCAATCACGAGGAGACCCTTTAAAGGTTTCTTTCGTGATAGGCTTCTTTTTTTCGCAATATTATTGGTTGAATGATTCCAGTGTGCTAACGGCACTTTTGTCTTCTCTTAAGCGGCGACGGGTTTTCTTTAACTCCACAGCTACGATGGTGTATTAAAGTTCTTGAAGGTCTTATGATCGACGCTACTTTCATGATGCCACTTGACAAAGAAATATCGAATAATTCTGTGAATGGGTCTCTGGAAAGTAATGGCCAAAATAAATCAATTCCCGGACCTATTTCTGGTACTCATTTGTCTTCGAAGGACGCTCCTGGCTGTCACATACCAAAGATTGCGATTAGCAGCTCGAAGGTTGTTGCGGACACGTCTGTAACCGAGTGTCCTGTCATTACGCCTATTGTGCCATCGCGTTCCACTATGCAGCCAACGGGATTCATGTCTTTTTTTTCTTCTCGACAGCGAAAGTCGTCTGGTGTGCAATCTCTGCCTGGAGCTTCTGTCAAACAACTACGTGTTGTGTACGTTGCTAAAATTGACGAGAACATTCAAGCTGTTGACGATCTCCTCGACTTTCATACTCGGGCAGTCAAGGCGGAAAATAAAGTGTCGAATGCCCTATGGCACACGGTCCAGTATTCGAAGTCACGAAAATGCGATACAGGTAGCCGAACGGCTATTCAGCCGTGCTATGCTGGAGGTCACGCAATGGGCGGTGTCCTTAGTCCTCTCCTCAGGCCTGGTGCATATTCATCTGGAGATAATTCCGCAGTGGACTCAGGTATTTCCGAAATGACAACAGATACACCTCTCTTTTCTCGAACAAATGGACTCCAGGGGTCCACTGCTTTGCAAGCTAAACAGGTATGTTTTACTGAACAGTTATTAATTTGCCTTATCCAACTTGATTGCTGTTTTATGTTTTGATCATAGTTTTTGCGGTGCTTTGTTGACGCAAATGAGTCGCGTGCTGAAATCTCCGCGTGTCGAGCAACTTTCCACAAGAAGATAACGACTTTTCAGCTGCAGTTGATTTCGGAATCCCTGCAGCGTCTTCGATCTTTATACATTGAAATGGATTCCAGACTAGAAACATACTCTTCACAGGTACGCCACTCACATTTCCAGCCATATCACATAGTTGGAGGCAGATGTTAGGGAGTGCTGGAAGAAGTACGCAAAATATGCAGATATCGTAACCCGCCTGCGTTCCCGGTTAAATTCACTACTGGAGAAAGGCAAGTTTCTTCGTTGGAAACTTATGCTCAATTTTTTAGGTACGGCAAGTAAGCGGAAAACTATCGAATCCTGCGTCATTGAGCTCGAGGCAGCCACCCAAAAGCTTCATCTTGTTCATAATACATATGCGTTATCATTAATTACTGCGCGTCAGTATCACCGGTGGCTTGTAACGCGTTTGCAGCCATGTCTCTACCGGAACTTGAATCGATGTCTTCGACTGATTGATTATGGACTTTCCTATTTGCTTCGGCTAGCACGTGTTGACCAGGCGCCGACTGGGACCTTTGACTTTCTCTCCCCACCCGAAGCAGATCCTCTAGGCGCCACCACCTTGGATTGTAGTTCTGAAGGGGGTATGGGAGCACCCGGTGACGATACCTTTAGACGAGCTTTCCCCTTTGACGCTGATTTGCTCGTGCGTGCTGGAGACGAGGCTTTACAGCCGGATAAAATTGTCGTTGATCAACTGACTTTCTGTCACATCCAGAAACTGTAAGCATGAAATTTGCTAGCTTTCGTTATTATTGAATATGTGGAACTTTATCGTACTTGAAAGACAAAAGACAGCTTCCTAATTCAGTTATGCAGAATTGAAGCAAATGATATGCTAATAGGTATTGACTGGTTGGATCCGAACTAGTCAGTTTCAAATCCTCATGAGCAACATCTGAGCTAAAAGAACCTTGTGACTTTTACTGATTTTCGGTGTTGCCAATTTTTGATAACCCAACGAATTGCTAGCACAACTGGACCAGCATAAGTCACTTGGGGGTTTCATTCTTACATTTTTTCGAATCTACACACAAATCTTTGGTGCTCTATAAACACGCTCCATGGTTCAAAGCTTGTTGATGGTGGGCAAGGTAACTTCTATTGATTACGTAGTTTGCATCTTTGATAGTTAGAATTAACGTTTCTATTGTCTATAACACTTGGCCTCCGGAATTTAATCTAGCGTTATATGTCTTTATCCCAGGGTCCGATAGAATTTATCAATCCCTTTCTCTGTCACTTAAATGTTAAAAGAAGTGTCAAAATATAACAAATCAACTTACTTGTTCAGTCTACAGAACCATCTTCAAGAGGCTGCCAATCAGGGAAGCATAACTCGAGTACTGGAAAGCGAGCACGGAAAACTGGTCGCGTCGATCTCCAGCTGGGTCTCTGTGCTCTCTTCCAGCGGCTCCACTCTGCGCGACCTTCCAACAATTGTGAAGACTGACGAGGCGATGACTCGCCTTCTGGAGGAAGTAGAATCCCTGAGTCCACTTGAATCGCTATCAAAGCTTATGGCAGATGACGAAAAACTCTTCTTAGGGACAGCTATGAAGCCGGGCACTTTGTGCGCACTTGCCATTCAACTTGGCACCTGCGAGTTCTTCCATTGTCAGTCGGTTTGCTTTGGTGACAGTCACATGCAGATTGTCAACGTGCTGCGAGAAGGAAACGCAGTCGCTCCATCACCTCCGCTTCCCACTTTGACAATTAATGCCACGACGAATTTCAGCCATCCAACAGCCGGCGACGATGGCAGCATAGACATGCTCGAGTCGAGATTTCACTGCCTTCGCGTTCAGGTCGATAATCAGGTGCGTTAAGGGCTTTTTCTTTATAGGTAGCTGTTGTTTTGAATCAGCCGATTACTTAGCGTCCGGCGCTGTTTCACTGCAATGATGTCTTGTTAGCGTCTCGTCTACATTGTGGTTCGGTCAAGGCCAGTTCCGAACAGCCTTCGTTGGAGATGTAGACACAATATTTCACTGGACACCACGGGCTTGTCCACACAAATTAGTGTATGTATAGGGCTCTAATAAATCAATCAATTAATGCACCTCCAAATCATTGGCTCGTGTATTTGTTTCCGATTCGGACAACCCTCGGTTTACCAGACTTTTCACGTGAAAAGAGAGGATATGTTAATGCCAATGCTTATGCTTTCGAAGATTCAGTCTTCCCATATTTGTTTAAGAAATGGGAAGATTCACTTGTAGTGTGATTCACTACAAGTGCTTTGTGATACAACACACCTATAAATTGCCACTCGTGGAAAAAAACCATTGGTAATCATTTGACGTATGTTATCAATTACTTGAAAAGTCCCATCATGCGGAGTATTCGTTTTATACTGGGTCCCCTCAGACAGTGGCCTTTCCTCTCCTGCTGCTACATGTACCACCTTTCCGTTTGCGTTATTGGGGTCTGTGTAATCCCCCTGCCTCGTTTTTTACGCACTCGAGCTGACTAGTTTAGGTGCTTACTTGTGGCGGCTGACCCACCTATGACTCCCCAGTCATTGACTTCGATATGGAATTATCTCAACAGATCCTTCTAGTTAGGCTCCTAAATCCAAGGTTTCGGCACAAGACCATTGCGTTGGTAGATGAACGTATGCTGTCGTATCCAATGAGCCTCGTTGAAAGTCGTGACTGAGGTAATTTAGGGTTTTGTGGATGTTTCGTAAAGCCGCTGTGTCCGTCTCTCACTATCTGTTGATCACCGCATTTTTCACGTCTAAGACAAATCTCGAGTTAACGACTACTCGTCATTTACGGATCTAGCTGTAAGCACCAACGAGACCTCACGTGTAGAAGCAGATTTTTGTGTTAACATTTTCACATTTGCATCGCTCGCATTTTATTGCGTTTGTGAAGTATGTATGAAGTCTTGTTTCTTGCTCAAAGTATCAAAAAACGTGTTGATTTTCGACCAGAGGATTTTTCGGTACCAAATGTCGTTATAACATTCGAATTCGCGGTCGTCTTAATCGGTTAACTCCCAGTCCAGTCGGTTTTTAAGCATTCCCAACTACTTTTTGATTATTTTGTTAATTTTGATAGTGAGAATGTTTCTTTCTCTCGCTAGATTCTAATTAAGCCCCATGTGAAATTGTAAGGCACACAATTTGTAGCTGCACATTTAGCTTCATTCTATCAAGAGATATTTTGGTGGTAATGCCCATGTGTTGCAAAATAGTTTTTATGCTGCCTCTTAACAAAACCAGCCAATTGTGAACAGGTTCACGCCAAATTACTCACTTATTTGTAGCAACTGCACTTAGGTGTACTTTTAACTTGGTCGGATCACTGCCACGTCACGTTCTGTTGTATCGTGAACCGGTTACCTTCTCGTTCACTTTTATTGGCAGTAGCGATTCGGCCAAAACTGCTTGATGTAGAAAGGTCCAGATGCTCAGAACGCATTGCCATTTTGGCGTGGCACGCATGCATAACACCGACGTCAGCAGTTTGTAGACTTTGTGAGTCGCTTTGCTTGGCAGAAGAGAGGGTGCAAGGAGGAATCGTCAGATTCAGGTGCGCCTGAATCTTGGATAGGCATCCTTGGTGAAGCTAGCCACACTCAAACAATTAGCCTTGTTTGGTGCGGTGGCATAATGCCGTCACATACATCAGATTATCCGCTCGGTCGATTCGCCATCATGAGCCAGTGATTGACACTAGGCATTAAAAAAACTTACAACAGGTGTGTAGCATGTGAACTAGTGCCCTTTAAATTCATTAGTCTACAAAATTGCACACACCAAGCCCACATAATTCTCTTACACACAGTGTCTCCGTTAATTTTGGCGCGCTGACGCCATTTATTTGAGACGCAAATACGTAGTCGGTAAATAACCTCGTCTTTCCAAATGAACTGCTTTCGTAATTAACTTTGGTGATTACACTTAGAAAGGGCTCTATCTCACGACTTTTAGGTATTTGAAGTAGTCCCGACTCAAAGCTGGTCTATTCGTGTAGAACTGTTTTTTAAAAAACGGCATTTCCTAGACAACTCGGCTTGTCACCATTTTTTGTGAATTGACTGCTTGTTAAACATTCACAAGAGGTCCTGTTGGACTTAGTTTTATGGACCACTGGATCTGTCGTAATCTTCCTTACCCTCCAATTCTTATTGAAGCATATTACCCTTCGCCTCGGATTCACACGAAGGCTCCAACTTGAAACTGTCGTTAAAATCGATACTTTGCTGATTTATCTAATGGAAATCGACCTATCCTTCTAATTGTTGTGGGTCCCACCTTGTGGTCATGAACCACGCCGGGGCCGGTCAGTTGGATCTGGCCCGATTACGCTTCCCTGCTACCCGTGGTGAAAAAGAGGACCGGAGAGGACGTGGACACAACCGTTTACTTCAGAGCTCAACCAAGTTGGTGTCGCTGTGTCGCGGGTGGCATTTGCGCGTGTGTATTTACACCTCAGATGTGGGAGGCATAGACGTAATAACATCGGGACCTGGGTTTGAGGATAATCTAGAATAGCTGTTCGCGCTAGCTAATGAGGGGAAGTTGAGGATCCGCTCGGCTGGTGACATGCTACGGGAAGGGGGCCCTGTGTCGGAGGCTGAGGTAACCGGATTGGCGAGTTTGAATCAACGCAATTCACAGCAATCTCATGACAAAAAGGGCTAAAGTTGATTATTTATTAGAGTTTGGTAAGTGGGATCTAATTGTGCACGTCAAGTCAGCTTCTAAAACAGCATATTTTTAGCCAAACATCCATTTCTGAACAGCCTAATAGTCTGATTAATTAAGCTAGTACTTGGTTTCTAAGTAGTGCAAGTTACTCAGGCTTTTTAAATTAGTTAGATTCGGGGAATCCATGTAGTAATAAATGCGTACATGTTTAGGTCTTAATTCCGAAACAAAGGCCAGGAATTTCTTACAAACTTGTTTGCTCTTCATGTGTGTTTTTATTGAAAAACTTCATTTTATTTGCTTCCCGGTTTCTGCATCAAACTTCTCCATTTCCTTGCTGATTTTAAAACAAGGGGATTACCTCTCCTCTTCGAACATCAAGAAAGAATTGACTTAAAACCCCTGTCAACTCCATTCTTGATCTCTTATGCATTTTTTTTTTAATTTTTCACCTTCAAGGTAAGTGATTAGACCCCCCCCCCCTCATTCGGAAGTATTAAAACGCCTGAACCATAGCCACCGCCCCTATAAATTTTCCCACACTGGTGCCACAGAGTTTACTTCCAGTTTTCATAATCGCGTGTCAACAAGCGTGGCTATTTGTCGGCTGTCCAGGTGACGAAAATGCGACGAACAGGCAGTGTATTTTGTTTCCAATGCTGATTAGCAGCACAAACTAACTAACCGGTGGTTGCTAATGTCGATTTTATTGTTTTTGAATGTTGTACTGGGGTAAATCCTAAATCTCTAACTCTTCGAATTGTTTGAGTTGGTGCTTTTTTAAGGTTGCTTTTGAATCAAATGGGATGCAAAAGTCGCGCTTCAGCTTAATTTTGTATTCTTTGAACTGTTAGCGCGCGCGCGCGCGCCTGTGTGTGTGTGGTTAAAAGAAAGAATGGGGCAGTTCCATTCCACGTTCTTAAGAATTTTTCAAGTGTGCGTGAGAGTATCGAATAATTCTGCTGCTTGTGAGTACACGCATCGTGCGAACGCATGCATTAAAGGATATTCACACATTTTCGCGGAAATTGTTCCAATTAAGTTTGTATTCCAGGAACTACAACCACCCTTCAGCCATTTTCAATGTCGGACCAAGTACAGCGCACGACACAGTCCTGGTGAGAGGTATACTTGTTTAATTGACGGATTTTGGTCTAGTCGAGACATATGACATTGTGGAAAATTCCTGTAGAGGTACCTAAGTTTCAATCATCCATACGGCGTTGCACTTTCAAAAGGCTGGGGATCCTGATTCCCCTCAAGCGTGGCTGCCAACTGTAAACTCGCTGGTAACCTGCGGGTAGTGGGTGGCTTTCTGGATGCGGGGAAAGGTTGTTACCCGGAATGAGCATCAGATCATGTGTGGAACTGTTGCTAGCACAAGTCGATGAATTGACAAGGATCGATGGCCACATGGAGTATGTGTGATGGTTATAGTGGTGTAATGGTTGACAGTTATTCATTTGGGATGGTCACTGTGTATGCAGGAGTGCGAATGTGGTTGTGCGCGTTCTATGTTTATTATATTTCAAGCCAAAATTTCATTTGTTGGTGTCCATCACGCACCTGTCGTGCACGAAGGACTTTCCACGTCAAACATAACCGAGGAGACTGTTACTTGGTGATGTAGTGGATGCGGTGCCAGCATCCACCACAGTCACCGGACGTGGTGTCAGTCGACTGCTTTCACTTCCGTTTCCCATTTAAAATGCTTGAAGTGGGCACTAATAGAGGGGAAGAGTATTGGGGTTCAGGGGTTTACATGGGCGTTGTATAAATTTTAAGCACTCATGTTTATGGCAAGGCAAGGGATCACTTTGCATTCAATTCAATGTGGCTAACTTTATAATAAAGTCATGTTCATTTATGAAACACGGCTGCAGATTCGCTAATTGTCCGGAACATTCGCCAAGCCCATCAATGGAGCCAATTTTGCCCCAATGGAGTTAAATGTTGCAGTTAATATTTCCCAGTTAGGCGTAGTTTAGTTGCTGTCTTATTCCTTTCTTTAGTGATTCAAATTTGTACTTCAAACTCGCCCTCCTCAATTATCTCTACTTTTAATACCGGTGCAGTTTGTTCTCGTTTTGCGTAGGATTTTACCTCTGCTTTTTCATGCCATAATTCGTCTTGTTCGTAGTGGTATCAATTGTGCCAAAATCGAATGGCAAAGTCTTTAGGCCATTTTCAGTGATTGTGCTTTTGGTATTGTTGATCGTGGTGATAGAAAACACGACAAATGGGGTGAATAACTTGGTAATATAGCATTTTTTAATTGCGTGAATGGATTTCAATCTTACAAATCAAAATGAGTTAAGGTAGATTTCTGGTGAGGCCGTTTTTCGTTCGACTTTCGATTGCTTATGGAAATCGAGTAATTAAGGTGGTTCCCAACCCAATATCGATCCGATTATCGGTCAGCAGCCTCACACCCTCATTTCATAGCTCCTCATCGATGTTTTCACAGGGTCATAAATTCTGTACTTTTGGGTGCTGCAGCGTCATTTGTTCACAGAACTGCGCGGAATCAGTCAGATTTAGCCGTCTAATTACTCGAACTCAATTAAGGTTTTTTTGGCTATTTTCTCTGCTTTTTTTGGACCTATAATTGCTTGACAGTTTTTACCTCTCTCTGTGCTTTCCTTGTCCAAACAAAATAACGTGAAACGAATGTTTGCCGTTTTGTCGCCACTGGCCGAGCGCGCCCCATCCTGACATTTTCAGCTGAAATCTTAATACCGTCGGTTATTAGTCGTCGCATGTTAAGAAAAATGTGGATTTTGTTAGTTGACGATGCTAGATGCTCTGCTGGTTCCTCACTGACCCGGATATGCCAGCATTTTCTCCGATTATTCATCTAATTTGTGGTTTGTGTGTGTGGGTGTGTGCGAATGCTGTGTTTTAACAGTTTTGAGGATCGGGTTTATGGGCGGTAAAGCCTTGTGTCTAGCCATCATTATTTAGCCTGTAATGTCCTGTTTGTCGATCGCGTCGACCTCTTTATCTGCCTCTTCCTATAGGCTATTGCCGTGCTCAGGTACCGCGAGTGTCAGGTTTCCTGGAGTTGCCTCTATGTCTTATAGGTGTGTCTACTAAGTGCGCACTTGATGCATTCGATCTTCCAGATTGTATCAAAAGCTCGAGTTTTTTTCGCAAATTTTCAATGTAGCAGTGAAGCATCTGTTGTGGGTCCCACCTTGTGGTCATGAACCACGCCGGGGCCACTCAGTTGGATCTGGCCCGATTACGCTTCCCTGCTACCCGTGGTGAAAAAGAAGACCGGAGAGGACGTGGACACAACCGTTTACTTCAGAGCTCAATCACGTTGGTGTCGTTGCGTCTTGAGTGGGGTTTGCTCGTGTGTATTTATACCTCAGATGTGTGAGGCATAGACGTAATGACATCGGGACCTGGGTTTGAGGATAATCTAGAATAACTGTTCGCGCTAGCTAATGAGGGGAAGTTGAGGATCCGCTCGGCTGGTGACATGCTACGGGAAGGAGTGACCCTGTGTCCGATGCTGAAGAGACCGGATTGGCGAGTTTGAATGAATGCGATTCACAATACTTCTGTTAGAACACGAGGCTTGTCGAAGTATTCAGTGTAGATGTATCCTCTAAATAGCATCTTTGGAAGATGCATTGTCAGTAACCGCAGTAACGCAACAACCACAATCTTTTAGTAGTTATCAAATGTAAATTCCAATACACTGTTTTTTTACAGGATGGAAGCGTATCAGGGGGAAGGCATTCCTCAGTCGGTGAATCCGATTCCGAAAATGAGGTTATTCCCCAACGTCAAGAGCATAGCCCCCTCGTTATTTCTCCTAGTTCACCCCCGGCAACGCCACAACGACGGTCGATCAAATCGATTAAAGAGGAACTCTACCGCCAGTCATTAGCCAGTTTGTCAAAGCCCAGCCTTACCCTAACGGATAGTCGGTCGACTAATCGACATTCTGTTATTGCGACCAGCAAATCTCCTCACAGATTCTCGCAGGGTCGATTCGCAAAGAAGGACCCACCCACCTCACTGCTTCCTGACAAAGATGCGTTTTTAAAATCACGTGGTGAGTTAACGTCCACGTTATACGCATTATCATTATCTATGCAAGACTTCAATTGGCGTTCGTAGTTTAATGTAACAGTGCTCTTTTCGGAGCACAGGCCCCTCGCACACTGTTACAGTTATGTTTTATTCCTACATGTGAAGAATTGACCGCTCAGCTATATGGATGGGAGGTAACCTTTCAGCGTGTTTACGGCGAAATTCCAACAATAAATTTCTTTTATAACTCGCAAAAGTGTCGTGTCTAGGGGAACGTTTGTGTTCTTCTTTGGTTCAGCTCATAGGTGTGAAGTGAATACATAAAGTACACCTTTTTTCTATAGAAAAAAACTCAGGATATTTTAGGAATGCCGATTGGATCAGCGCCCAACAAGGCGATCTCGTTTTTATCGCCTACTAATGGCAGATGCCGCCATTGTTACTTGCTAAAGTTGCCTAGTTTCGCTTTAAGATGGTTTAACTTTTCCTCTGTGTCAATTGCCGATGGCCCTGTGATTCGTCTGGCAAAAATTTAACCACACGTTTTTTTCCAAGAATTATCGCCTCTAGCAGTTTAACTCTCGGAAATCTTTCGTCTCCTGTTGCAATCTCTTCTAGTATATCAGCGTATTAGTCGGAAAAGATATCAAATGGAGAATTTAGTAGTATAATCTTCTCAGTCTCTATAAGTCGCGAAATTATTACTGATTGGTTCCACCTCAGAAGACCTGTTTGTTTTGTTTTTTGAAATTATGAGTTAGAACGCCATTTTTTCGAATGTTGATCAGTAAAAAATTGAGGTCAATTGCAGTTGCCCACAGACTGTTCCTCCAGAGGCATGGTCACGTACCACCACGTACAAAAGCGGCGGTGTTGTGAGACTAACATTAGTTAATTTGCTGACACATCGCAGTCGCTGTCTTGCACACCACGCAATTACGTCCTAACATGCTGCATAATTGCACAACCATTCATGGGATGCAATATTTTCTCACCTAGCAAATTAAATTAGTCAATAAGTTAATCAATCATCAGTGTTTGGGTTACCCTTTGGCGCGACAACTCGGGATTTTTTCAATGCGAACCATGTGATCTGTGTGACCTTTGTGCTCTGTCACATAATGGCAATTTGCGTCGACTAAGTGTTCTATGGCTGTCAATTCGTCAAGTATCATGGATGCAGCTTCTTGTAGCCTACATTATGCTGACAAGCCGACACGTGAATAAGTGGCCTCTGGTACAAGAATATGCGTTTGAAACTTGAGAATTTCTATTTGCCTAGCCAACAGCACCTCGTCTGTCGACGTGAACCACAACGCGTCGGCCCCGAGCACCATGTTGATCTCCCCCTCGCAGCCCCCAACCGGCGGCGAGCTACCGTCGCACAGGCTTGACCAAGTGAGTGGCCTTTTGCTCCTTGCTTATGCACTCTAATCGCTAACCTGGCGCAATTGGAGTACTTTCTTCTGACGACATGGCGACCAACTGGTTGGCAAGCTTGTACTTTCGGTTTCCCAACTTTAAATGCGCAAAATTCAAGCCGATTTACGTCAACCATGTACATGGCATTTCGCCAGACGACATCTTGATGCATTTAGGCAACCCGATGAATTCGGGCTTCTCGGATATTTGGCAAACTTTTCACTGTTCGAAATTTGAGGGAAATAAGATGGTGCAGAGTCAGGGCCAAATGTAGACTTTAAGGTCAATTTTCACGAGTCACCAAACGATGTGCTTGAGGCTTTGCGATTTACCAACTGCAGCCGTTTTTCGTCCATTTGTATTAGCTGTTAACAGCGGAAACCTGAACTAATCGTCTTCATTCTCGGCATACCGTTCACTGTGAGAAATAAATGGAAAACTAATGGAGCAGCCAGGGCCAGATTTAGACATCCGTTACCTTCTTCCCAGCATGGTGATACAAATCCTCAAGCTAACATTTGGAACCCCATGTTCGGCACGTCGAAGGCTTCCTAGAAAACGAGAAGACTGTAGTCTGTGCGGAATGTTTTGCCACATGAACCAAGGGGTCGGGTACAAGATGGGGCCAAGGCGCAAGTCGGGTGAATGCTCAGCTGCGCCTGCATATATATCCCTGGACGATCAGAGACCGATGGGTTGAGTTGATGATGTGAAAGACGATATGGCGTGTCATCAAGTGAACAGAGCTGAGTGAATCAGCGCTACAACTCACTGTATTAACTCACCTGTCTTGGAGAATGCTGACCTCTCCAGCATCTCCTTCCAAGCCCACTCCCACCCTTCTCCACGAGTTACCGGATGATGTTTTGAGGCTTTAGTATCTACAAATTCAAGCAGTTTTCCGTTTAGTTGGTTGCTGAAGGTGGACGTTTAAATTAATCGTCTTGAAGTTGGGATGAAGCTCAAAGACAATCGACGTTTGTTATCCCACAAGCTATTCAACATGACATTATTTTATGCTGTGGAACATTCGATGTGGTTGCTATTAATTAATAAAAAAGACCACCATAATCGTTCTCAGTTGATATTATCATTGGTGACCCGCGTTCCCTCTCCCGTGTTGATTTTGTTTTCGAACGATGACAGTTTTATCGTGACATTTAGTCGCATGCCGCAAATGATGGACCATTGTTTAACTCATGCGTCACCCAACAATACAGCTATTTGGCGAGGCGAATGCAGGGGGTGTGATTTTCAATTGGCGTGTGTGAAGTATTCGATCCCTGGGATCTCTCAAACTGCTGGGTGGCGATCTGAATCAGGTGTGCCGGTGCTTTTGTCGGCCAGAATGTGTTGGTCAACCTCGACCGAGAGGGTTTCCTTGGTTGTTGTAGCAATATCTGACGCCTACGTGCTGGTACGCATTTGGCACCACACAAATTGCACATTTCTTGGTGAGCCTCGGCAGCTTTCATGACTTGAGGGAGGTGGAGCAGCGAAATATGCCAAAAATGTTTGTTTTTTGGAGCTCCAAGTTGAGACTGACCGCGAACAAACAGCTGCGAGAGAAATTATGTGCACTAGGCCCTAAAAGTAAGCTCAAGATGTCAATTTTCTAGTGTTAGAGGAAATAAATTAGATCACTGACAATAGTTCCTCAAAGAAACATAACGATATTTTTTAAGATCAAAATTATGTAGTGTCCAAAATAATTGCAGGGCAAATATGGGCTCACTGTCTGGTTACTGGGCCAATTAAAAGCCACGACTCACTTAAGAGACCTGCGGTGCGTATATGGTGTTCCACGTTAGAATCTTCGAGTTGGGCCAGTAAAATAACAATTTTTTGAGCTATGATGCCATGCGCAGAGACTGGAACGTATCCCTGTCTAAATCTCTTAAATTATTTTAATTTTTTTGATTCAGAATCCTTGGAAGTTAACCTGCTACCCTATTTCTTGCAAAGGTATCAAAAATGTGTACAAAAAATAATGGAAATTTTAAGCCATGGTTATAAAAGCAAAATAATCGCCATTGGGTTTTTGAGTTTAATGCCTAACTGTGCATACAAACCTATATTTATTAAATTTTTAAGGTCTGAATAAGAAAAAAATATTTTCGGGTGAGAATCAGAAGGCAAAAGAAGGTTACAGCTTTAAAATTGGAAAGTTAGCATTTTGTTTAATTCCAGTGCCTAGTTTGCTTTATTTTACTCTTTTATCTTTTCTCTTCATAAAATAATTAAATAAATTTTTTTTTGTGTCGAAATAAAAAAAAGATGGTAAGACGCATCGATCTGTTTCGCAACCAATCGAAAGGAAGTAATGAGAGCAATCATTTCACGCACAAGTCCCTACTGATTCCCAAGATAGAACACATGTCTATTGAAAACAGCACCTTTGCTAAATATCAATACTTGTTAATTTATTTGAACTTTCACTTGTTATGAGTCCTTGACAAGTTTCGACTAATGACTACTTAAATGAAGCTAATAACTCCTCAAAATACTAATCGACATCACATGCCTTTATCTTCTTACTCTTCTTTTTTATAATAAGAGTAAAGAGATTTTGTATCGGTCAGATGGGGCAAAGAAAGAAATTCAAACATTCGTCTGGGATCAAATAGAGTTGATCCTCTAGGTATGGTAGCATTCGTGAGGCCTGAACAGCCTTCTACTTAAATTTGACTTACTTTTCTTAAAACAACACCGTGGAATTGAGAATCGTCTATCGTAAAAAGTTAAACGACTATCCAAATGCGTTAAGACTTCAGCAATGCAGTGCACTCAACTGGAAAGCTTTTTATGTGGATGGCAATCATTTTCGATAATTGGACTTGACTTTTCAACACTTCATTGTCTCACGCCGTGTCCACATAAAAATCAAGAAGCGTAAACAGATAATGATGGAGAGCATGAGTTTTCACGACAAAAGGGCGCCTTTAAAACGTAAACACTGAGGTTTCGGATAAGTCGGTACGGCGCAAAATAGTCTGCTGCAGTGCAACCTGCAAGCCTCGCTACGTTGTCAGTGCGATCAACTCTGGATGCCTCGAGTTTGTTATCAGTTTTGTTGCATGCGTCTGCCTCCCTCTGACACCCATAGGTCGGTTTCGATCACTGCTCGTGGGGCAGATTGTGACACGACGCAGTTAGAGCGCCAGCAACTTTCATTTCCAACAACAGACACAAAATCACTGTTTTAATTGTGTGCGCTTCGATGCCCTAAGTACCAAGTATACAAAAACGTCAAAATTAGTTCGAGTATCACGGATCCGCAGACATCCGTACCACAAATACGAGCCCGAAAAGTCAAATTGAATAAGACGTCGCTAGGACAAGTAAACTTTAATTTCAGTGGTAGGTATAATGAACCGAGATGTATGAAATAATGCGCTGAAAGCAAGCAAATTTTGTCACATGAAACTAACGGGCTTCACTATTGTGGTATCAGAATATGAGCCAGAATGTCCCATTAGAATCCGACATTCAGATTTGACTTCACTAGCGCTAATTGTCAACTTCTTTGCATTGATCTTCGATTAATGCGTTTTTGGGGTTTAAAACATTGACAAGTCAATTGAATAGCCATATTAATTACTATGCCAAGAATTATACATTGAATTATAGCACCGTTTTTTCCCTGAATGCAGACATTGATTCTTTTAAACGATCGAAAATATCAAATTTTTTTATGGAACAAATGCATTAGATTATTTAATTGTGTTATCCTTTCAGCCAATTATGAGTAATATTAGGCCAGGGCTTTGGTTTTTTAGTTGAACTTGAGAATTTTTGGTGATAAAGTTCGGCTAATTGTATTCCAATATTGTTATCACTTTTAAAGATCGCATTACGTATCTATCTTATTTGGCTTTCTCTTTGGAACGTCTCTCTGCTAGTCAAAACCGACTCAGTCCATTGGAATTCGGGACTCCAATGTTCAGAGATTGACGCCTTTGAGCAGTGGACAACGGTCAGGGACCAGACACGATGTGTTCGCGATTGTGAGAGGCTATGCATGGTGTACATCTTGTATTTTGTGCAAATACGACTTTTCCAGACACACTAAACAAATAATATTATCTTATGGAGGATGAGGCGATGTGGTGATTGAGAGACATGGTGTACGTACACAAAAAAACCTTGAGTTTGATATTTTGTATGGTTAAACCACTGGGAAATCCGTGAATTAGCGAATGGCGTGCCAGGTAAGATCTCTAGCTGAAAAACCCAGCAGGATGATGCTGATGATTTAATTCTTTTTTAACGCACTTATTCTTGTTCGTATTTTACGCTCATATTTCTTCGCGATTTTTTATTCCGCTAATCTGTTAAGTTGCATTTATGTCACCGCGTTTTAATATTTGAGATTAAAAATTATTATTTTTATTAAAAAAATACGAATTTACATATATTCTGTCTAACAAAATATCGGAAATCCCCGGACCAGAGCCCAGGAGAAAACCTGCGCGCTACCAAGTCTGCAGAAAATATTAATTAGTGAATTTAGTTGAGACGGGTTTGCGAGTGGAAAATTTCCTACCATTCTGCCGTCAGTTAAATTATCCTTACCTTCATCCACGCCCGTTTGGCCAGGCAATAGTGTGAGCATCCTCCTGACACTCAGTGACGTTCACTGTTCATTCTATCATTAGTTATGACCACAAAACTAAAAGTTACACCACACATTATGCATAGCTCAGTTTGGACTATCGCGGCAAAGTGCCACATTTCTTACTGCCCTGAAACATGCTTGTCAATGCATTCGGGAAAACTGGAACAAAATGAGCCTGATCATGCTAGACCAAAAGAGGAACGGACCAGTGCTCGTCTACAGCGTTGGATAAAGTTGATGCATGGCGGTTTTGCTCTACTGCAGGTCGCCATCGTTTCATATTTCTTAAGACAGGTTTGGAATGCATAAGAGTTGTTTTATCCAAATTACCTTCTAATATTTTAGTTAAAATGACAATTATTGGTTGCTTGAAAACGTGCTCACCCAAATTTCA